GCGGAGCTTCTGTCGCGCCGCCATCGAAGCCGCGATTGGCTCGAAACGAGTGCACAGACCTGCGCACCACGCGTCCAACGTGCGATACTGGGGCACCTCCACGAAGTACGACGGCGCCCAGGGTCCGGTTTGTCCTTCCCGTGTCGGTAGATTCGCGTAGTCCATCGGCTTCGTGACGATGATGAGCCACAAATCCATGGCGGGTCCTCGCAGTAGAGACACGGCGTAGCGGATTTTCACCGTATCCTCCGAGACGTAGTTGGCGTCGAAAAACACGTTCATCGTGAACAACCACGTCTGAACGGTAGGACCACCCCTTTGACTGAGATCGAAGCATGGCGGACGCTGCGGCTTCAGCGGCATCGGTGACGGCAGTGCCGAATCGTCGGTTGGTGCTGAAATTGTGACGCGTGGCTGGCTTCGGGCCGCATTCGTCGTTCCGGGGTGTGTCGTGCCGTGGTCGTCGTCTCCGTCGGGGCGGACGACGCCATCACTGGCCGCGCTCGCGGGTTGCCCCACACTTCCATGTTGTGATGCTTGTGGTGCGGGCTGTTCCGGAGTGCCAGGTGCTTGAGATTGCGCTTGTTGTGCTCGTGTGAGATGATTTTGCAGGGACGAGCGTTCTGCCGTCAACGTCGCGATTTCTTCGGCGCTCTCGCGGATTTGTCGCAGCAGATCGTTCAAGTGCTCCTGCGTGAGAGTCGTGACGTCGATATGCTCAGCCATTTCGAAGGGCGTCGGCTCGTCTTAGTCTAGGCGCAGTCTTGGCTTCACGCGTTTACAAGAGAACGCGAGGACAGCGGCTCCTAGGTGCTAAGGTGCGTGAGTCCTTTCGAGGAAAAATCAAAAGTTGAGTTCTTGGGGTGCGGGGATGCGCGGTCCGAAAAGGAAAGAGGCTCTGAATACCGAGAGTTACGGGTGCAATGGATCGAGGTAGCGAGAATTGCACTAAGGTGTCAAACGAGTACAACATGTGAGCGAAGGCATGAGCGAACATTTATACGCGAAATTTGCAAACGGTAACGCGGTGCGTGTGAGCTAGCTAGTGCTATGCTGGCAGCGAGGCTCGAACTAGTCCCGAAGCGTAGGCCGACACGGCCAGGCCAGCAATGCGAGGTTTGGCAAAACAGTGTGCGCGAAGTTGGCGAACCCCCGTTAGTAGTAACGGGCGAACAACGGCTGTTGCTGTACGCGATGTAGTCGGGCTCTGTAAAGAATGCCGAGAAAATTCCTTACACTAGGCAATTTCCTACTTTCCGTTCCGTGACGGGAAGTGGGCTGCAGAACAGCGCCTAGGTGGGGTGCGTTTCAACGCCTATTTCGCGAACTTGCAAAGCACAGTTCGGTTCTGTATTGCCACATTCGCAATCTCTTGAACGGGAAAAATTCCTCCTTCACCCTGGAGTGGCAGGGTTGGGTGCTCCAGAATCCAGATTCCCCGACTGCATCCAGCAACTCCTTCGTGAGGACTCACTGTGCCATTGACACGGTGCCAGACTGGATGTTGTCATTGGCCATCAAACACGGCACAGCGCCAATGATTATTTGAGAAGTAGGTGGCAATAAGCTGGCTGTATTGTTTTTTTGTGGAGTCGCGGAGTCAGGGTGGTGCTGGTGAGGGGAGCCAAAGTTGAGGCTGGGGTGGGGTGTAGGGCTATTGCTAGGATTTTTGCTAGCTCGGACGATCCGGGCCCCTATGTAAAAGACCCTTTAAAATCCGAGCCAGCGAAAAAAAAGCCTCGTCAAATCCGGGTTCGAGCCAGAAAAGGTTTGGAAACCTGCATACCAGACTCTGGTGGGATGATCGAGAAACTCACAGTGGGTTATAGATGAGTGCTAGGGAGGTTGGAGATGAAGGAGCGACTCTAGAGGTGTGGGAGAGAGACTTTTTGTAGGACTTGGAGAATTGTCAGTGTACGGAGAACGGGGTATGCTGACGTAAAACGGGGTTTTAACCACTTGGAGACCAAACGAAGAACGAATGGTAAGGGAAGTCCACTAAAAGTGGCCCGCTCGTAGTTCACGAGCAGAGGGAGGAGGGTGTGCAAAGCAGCTCGGGGAGAACAAGTGTTGCTAAAACATCCGGGTCCCCTCGAAAATCTCCCGGAGCGATAGAGTGTCCTTGATAATTACCCTTCAGTTTTACGGGCTGGTCCAAAAATCGCATTGTGATTATCAGGGCTCCTTAAGAAAAACCTTGTAATTTCAGTCAAAACAGGGTTATTGCTCTGATGACATAAGCCCATGTGGGGAGGGGAAGAACGGTATGGAAGGATAAGATCTGAAGGAGATGGCGGATTTTAATGGCTGAGATGTGCGGACTTCTCTGGGAAACGTGTTTCGTATGCAGCCTGCTCTTTATGTCGTGTGATCTGGCGTTTTGTCAGCTTGCGAGTCGGTTTTTGGTGTTGAGCTGCTAGGTTGATCACCAAGAACTGTACATTAATGTACACCTTTGTTCTCAGATTTCTCACCGGCGGACGCAGTGTCTACAAAGTTTGGACGTAGTGGGCTGGTGAGATAACTCATTGCGGGCCAAGTCGCACGAGGCGACGAAACCAGACTTGGGCCGTAAAAATCCGTTAACGCTGAATAACTGTCCTAACCGCTTAGAAAACAACAATACCTCTCTAGAACGTATAGAACCTTGACTAAATGCCCTGGGTCAAACTGTCAGTATAACGCATGTGATAGGACCTTCTTTGGTCCGCTGCGGCTACACTAAGCGTCCCCGTCAGTATAACATATGCCAGTCTAACGAGAATGAGGGTGTACACTATTCAGCCCTTACAGTCATTTCAGCGAAGTCTTGCCATATGATTTGCGGGGTCCCAGATGATTTGCGTCTTTTATCTGTGGACCGTCCGTGGATAACATACACCACCAATCAACGCAGCATAAACAAAGAAAACTGTTTTTTTAGCAGCAAATTTTGCAAGCAGAGCTACCCCAGGGCAGAACTTTACACTAACGGTAAGAAACGGGTTTGTTGAATCCGTTATTCTCCACGCATAACTAGCGCGTCGCATCACATCTTGGACCTGACCTGCTTTGGCTTGCACATTGCACAAATCAACGAAAATCTGTGTAGAGTTGCGTGGATTGGTCAGTGTCCTCTCACACGTTAAAGCCGGCGGCCCAAATTGTTCATGCTTTTAAAAGTTGACCAGAGGGAGTTTTTCTGGTGTGGGCTTTGGCGAGAGTTTCCGATTTCGTCTAGGTTCGTTTTTTTCGCGAGACCCAGCCAACCCTCGGTTTTCCCCCTGGTGAGTGTATCTGTCTTCGCAAGTCCCAAATTGCAAGTGCGTGACTTTCAAAAGCTTGGACACTCAACTTCGTCAAGTTATAAAAACTTGACCCTCGGGGCCCGCAATTTAGGACGCGGGTTGTAAAGTGTGGTGAGGATGGGTAGCGAAGTAACTAGCCCGCTAAATCTCTGTGCAGACGACTGATCCCAGCAGGAGGATACGACGACACGACCCAATTGTTTGTTCGGTCCAAGCGAGGATAGTACATTGCATCTTCGACCGCCTATGCTCTCTCCATTCCACCATTCTATGCCCTGATTGCGGCCACGCTGTCTGCTGTGATGTGAAGTGAACCTCAGTTACGCCGACAACTGGAGGAGTATGATTTCACCTCCCCAGTGGCACAGGGAAGGCGAGACTATCTGCGATCTCTCCTTCATCACCTCCCACTTCGAGTTGTTGCATGAGATTGCTGTAGGAAAAAGAGATGAGTGCTTTGAGTGTCTAACTGAGATGATCCTTGGAGCTCATACCGCTGTGATTGATTTTAGCAGGAGCTTGATGGACGAACATAATTCTTTGTGGTGGGTCTCATAGTCGGTCTGAAATTCCTGAAGCTTTGTTGTTTCTTCTTCTTCCCGTTATAGTTCTGTGTTTGTTTTGTGTTTTGTTTGGGTGTGTGAGTGTGTCTGAGAGAGAGAGAGAGAGAGTGAGTGTGTGCGTGCGTGCGTGCGTGCGTGCGTGCGTGCGTGCGTGTGTGTGTGTGTGTGTGTGTGTGTGTGTGTGTGTGTGTGTGTGTGTGTGTGTGTGTGTGTGTGTGTGTGTGTGTGTGTGTGGTTTTTTTCTTTCTTTCTCTCTTCTTTCCTTTTTCGTTTTATTTTTGTACTTCCGTGTCTTCTTACGCACGTTTTGACTGCGCGGACCTTGCGTTCTATAATCACGGTGCGCAGGGACGCGACGCAACCATGGCATTTCGAAGAGTCCACGTGGCAATTGCCCGATTCATTACCACTAGTAGCAGCAGATTTACATCATCATGCCGCCCTGGATCCAATCCCAACCCCGATCGATCCATTCGCGCTGCGAGATTTCTTGGACGGTCAGCACGAAATGGGACACCACCATGACCACGACGGCAGTTTAACGGATCACCCTCTAGTGGATCGTCCGCCAGAATCTCACGATCATGCAGCCGGCGATGAATCGCGCTTTGCCGAAGGATTTAGAAATTACAACATCACCCGTGATAGTGGCACTACAACCACTCCTATTAATTTGGTCGATTCGCACTATGTTCATGGTGATCATGATACAGAGCATAGTATTGATCCGCAACAGGGGGGTTCAGTTTTCGGGGTGGATATGATGAGGGCAAGGCAAGCGCAAGCTCAAGGGCAAGCACAAGCACGGGTGCAAGCGCAAGGGCAAGCGCAAGGGCAAGGGCAAGCGCAAGGGCAAGGGCTAGGGGGGGATCCGAGTCTGGAGCAGCCTCTGGCGGCGTTACCACATGATCTCGGCTGGCAGGAATTCGTTGCTCCGCCGGTGTTCCCCTCCGCAGATCCTGAAGGGGGAGGGCTGGGCGGCGGATCAGGCGAATTGGGCGGCGGCGACGGCAGAGGTCGAGTTGGTAAGCGGAGCAAAGGGGTTTTTGGAGACATGTGGGGAGGCGGCGCAGGAGCAGGAGAAGAGGGTGGAAGAGAGGGAGGAAGCAGTAGTAACCGCGTGGCTGAGGATGTAACGGCTACAGCGGTTATGCCGGCTGTAGCGGCTATGCCCACTGTAGCGACTCTGCCGGCTGTAGCGGCTGTAGCTCCTGTGGCGGCTGTAGCGCCTGTGGCTGCTGTAGCGGCTACGGCGGAGTGGAACATGTACTTGCTGAGCGCGCCGCTGAGCTCGAGCCTGCAGCAGCGCGGCAAGCAGCAGCGATCGTCACCGTCGATTCGAGCGTCGTCCGGGTCGCCGCAAGTGTCGGTAACAGGTGCTACTGCTGCTGGGGGTGCTGGCGACGGTGCTGCTGCTGCTGCTGCTGCTGCTGCTGCTTCTCCCGCTCTTGCGTCTCCTGCTGTTGCTTCTCCCCCCTTCATCGAGTCCCCTGTCGCCGCAACCCCTCCCTCCATTGCGTTTCCCACCGTTGCCGCTCCAACCTTCATCGAGTCTCACGCCATTGCATCTCCCTTAATCGCTACACCCGCCCTCACCACTTACGCGGACAGCACCGGCCCTACTGTTGCTGCTGCTGCTGCTGCTGCTGCTGCTGTTGGTGGCAGTAGCAGTAGTAGTGGCGTCAAGGAGGGAGGAGTACTTAGTGGTTCGGGGGGATTAGAGCTTGGGCCTCGCAGGAAACCAGTGGACTTAGCTAAGCGTCTGGCCAGTGCGGTTAGATTTCAGAAGCAGCAGGTGTCTAGAGCGCAGTCAAATCCGCAGCAGCAGCAGCAGCAGCAGCAACCGCAGCCGCAGCCCCTGCAGAAGAAGCAAACAGACGAGAGACAGCAGGTAGAGCAGCAGCAGTTAGAGCAGCTGCTGCTGCAGCAGCAGCCGCAACAGCAACTGCAGCAGCAACAACAGCAGCAGCACGATCAGCTATGGGAGGCGCTGCAAGGGCGGCCGCAACAGCAACATCAGATGCAGCGGCAGGAGCAGCAGCAGCAGCAGGCGCAGCAGCAACTGCAGTAGCAGCAGCAGCACGATCAGCTATGGGAGGCGCTGCAAGGGCGGCCGCAATCACAGCATCATCAGATGCAGCGGCGTGAGCAGGTGCAGGAGCAGCAAGTGCAACAGCAGATGCAGCGAAAGGAGCAAGTGCAACAGCAGATGCAGCGAAAGGAGCAAGTGCAACAGCAGATGCAGCGAAAGGAGCAAGTGCAACAGCAGATGCAGCGAAAGGAGCAAGTGCAACAGCAGCAGATGCAGCGGCAGGAGCAGCAGCAGCAGGCGCAGCAGCAAGTGCAGCAGGAAGGAGGAGGTAGGATGACGGATTCGCTTTTGCTTGCGCTGGTGCGACGGCAGCTGTCGGGACAGGATACAGAGCTAGTGCAGCAAGGTCAGGACCAACAGATTGAGCCGCAGAATCAGCAACAGCAGCAACCGCAGCAGGAGCAGGAGCAGCAGCAGCAGCAGCATGTATACCAGCAGCAGAATCGGCACCAGAGTCAGCAGCAGCAGGCAAACCAGCCGCTACAGCCGGCGCAACGGCCGCTACAGCCGTCCAAGCGGCCGCTACAGGCGTCCCAGTTCGATTTAGAGTTCCCCTTTGCTAGCATTGACTCTATGCGCGCAGCAGAGATGGAGGCTCTGGAAAAGGCTATTACAGGGTTCTCACGGGGTGCTTCTAACGAGGATAGGGTTGCTGTAGGGTCTGGTGGTTCGGCAGTAGGTTCGGGAGAGAGGAGCAGGTTCGGTGTAGTGGGTATGACGGGCCAGGGCTGGAGCGGTGGTGGTAGGGGTGATGTTAGTTCTGCTGCTTGTGTTGATGCTGGTAGTGGTGGTGGTGGTAGTGGTGGTGGTGGTTTGAGTGGTATTCGTGGTGGTGGTGGTAGTGGGGATAGCACCGCTGCTGCGGCTGCTGCTGGTGCTGCCGCCGCCGCTGCAGCTGCGAGTGGTGAGAGCAGTAGGTTCATGCAAGTTGATATCAACGAAACGCTTCAGAATAGGGCAGCAGGAGGAGGGAGGGACTTGGCGTCTGAACTAGCATCGTTTGTGGCGAGAACCAGTTATGATGAAAGAGGTAGGCCCATGCAAGTTGATGGTAAAGTGGCGCTTGAAAACCCTCCCCCAAGAGGAAGGGACTTGGCGTCTGAACTAGCATCTCTTGTGGCGAGATCTAGCTCTGATAAAGCAGCAGCAGGGTCAGCAGCAGGGACAGATCTCGTGCTGTTCCCTCCAGGTTCTTTTGCAGATACCAGGAAATACTCCGTTGACCATTCAGTGATGCGAGTACTTGATTCCGCAACCCAGGCAGCAGCAGCAGGAGCAGCGGGAGCAGGGGCAGGAGTAGGAGTAGGAGCAGGAGTAGGGGTAGGAGCAGGAGCAGGTTTAGGAGTAGGTACTCGATTTGGGGTAGTCCCAGCAGCAGCAGGCAGAGCAGCAGACGGGGCAGCAGGGGACCCGTTCAGTATAAGCCCCTTCAATACAAGCACACGTCAGCAGCAGCACACGCTGACAGATGCGTTGGCAGTCAGGGCAGTGGGAGGCGCGCCAGGTGGCGCGTCGGCATTGGAGCAGCGGCTGAGAGGGGCCCTAAGAGCAGGACCTCAGCTGCAGCAGCAACAAACCAACCAACTAAGATCCAATCAGCCGAGTGTAAATCCAAGTGTGAATTTGAATGTGAATCAGCCAGGAGTACCTCACCTGAGGGCAATTCAGCCGAAGCAGAACCATCAACCAAGAGTGATTCAACCAAGAGTGATTCAACCGAGAGTGATGGAGCAGCAGCAGCAGCAGAGAGTGGAGGCGGTGCCGAGGGCAGTGAGTGAGTTTGGTGACACGGAGAGTGTGCGCGACATGGCGAGTGGGCGGGTGTCGGATGAGGGGTTGCAACAAGGCCTGCTGCAGCTGGCTGAAGCCGTGGCCACAGGTGACCAGGTGAGGTGAGGGGAGTTGCGAGCAGGTGGGTGCATCCGTAGTGTGGGTTAGGCAGGTGGGTAAAAGTGGGCAGGTTTCTGGTGAGATGCTGCCACAGGACCTGCTTCAACTGGCTGAAGCCGTGGCCACTGGGGACCAGGTGAGGGTGGGTGAGTGGTAGAGCAGCAGAGGGTGGAGGCGGTGCCGTGGGCCGTGAGTGAGTTTGGTGACTCGGAGAGTGTGCACGCCCCTGCAGCGAGTCTCTCACTACCTTCTCACCACCTGCCTCCCCCCTGTGTCTCCCTGCTCCACTCAACCCCCTACAGCCGCGTATGGTCAGTCTCACCAGGCGTCTGCGCCCGCTCCCTTGCCCCTATGGCACGCCCATGCAATGCGTCTCACACTACCTCCTCACTGCCCGCCTCTCCCTCTCCCTCTCCCTCTCCCTGTGGCCCCTGTGCCTCCCTCCCACAGCCGCGAATGGTGCCTTTGCCTCGGCGCCTGCGCCCGCTCTCCTCCCCCTACGGCACGCCCATGCAGCGCGTCTCACACTACCTCCTCACAGCCTGCCTCTCCCCCCCCCTTTCCTCTCCCTGTGCCCCCTGTAGCCCCTGTGCTTCCCTCACGCAGCCGGGAATGGTGTCTTTGACTCGCCGTCTGCGTACGCTCTCCTCCCCCTATGGCACTCCCATGCAGCGCGTCTCACACTACCTGCTCACTGCCTGCCTCCCCCCTGTGTCCCCCTGCTCCACTCAACCCCCTACAGCCGCGTATGGTCAGGCTCACCAGGCGCCTGCGTCCGCTCTCCTCCCTCTACGGCACGCTCATGCAGCGCGTCTCACACTACCTCCTCACTACATGCCTCTGCCTCTCGCTCTGCCCATCCCCCTCTCCCCATGTGCCTCCCCGCGACAGCCGCGAATGGTGTCTTTGACTCGTCGCCTGCGTCCGCTCTCCTCCCCCTACGGCACGCCCATGCAGCGCGTCTCACACTACCTGCTCACTGCCCTCGCCAAGAGGGCTGCAGGCGCTCTGGGTACCGACTACATTGCTTATCTCAGCCGCGCTCCCGAGGTGAGAGGGCGGTGAGATGTTGGTGTTTGAGGGGGAAAGGTTGATGCTGCTGCTGCTGTCTCACACTACCTGCTCACTGCCCTCGCAAAGAGGGCTGCAGGCGCCTTAGGAACTGACTACATTGCCTATCTCAGCCGCGCTCCCGAGGTGAGATGGTTTTATGCATGATGCCTCAAGAGCTGATGGTGATGCCTCAAGAGCTGATGGTGATGCCTCAAGAGCTGATGGTGAGGCCTCAAGAGCTGATGGTGATGCCTCAAGAGCTGATGGTGATGCCTCAAGAGCTGATGGTGATGCCTCAAGAGCTGATGGTGATGCCTCAAGAGCTGATGGTGATGCCTCAAGAGCTGATGGTGATGCCTCAAGAGCTGATGGTGATGCCTCAAGAGCTGATGGTGATGCCTCAAGAGCTGATGGTGATGCCTCAAGAGCTGATGGTGATGCCTCAAGAGCTGATGGTGATGCCTCAAGAGCTGATGGTGATGCTGCTGCTGTCTATCTCCTCCCTGCCCTCGCCAAGAGGGCTGTAGGCGCCCTGGGGACAGATTAGATCGCATATTTGAGCCGCGCGCCTGAGGTAAGAGAAGGTACTGAGGTGTTGCTTTTGAGTCGACTCAAAAGCAGACTCATTACACGCGGCTTTTGAGTAGACTCAAAAGCAGACGCATATTTGAGCCGCGCGCCTGAGGTAAGAGATGGTACTGAGGTGTTGGAGATGTGTTGGTGTTGAAGGGGACACTTGATGCTGCTGCTGCCTCACACTACCTCCTCCCTGCCCTCGCCAAGAGGGCTGCAGGCGCCCTTGGGATGAAATATATAGCATATTTGAGCCGCGCACCTGAGGTGAGGTGGTGGTGAGATGTTGATGTTGCTACTGCCTCGCCTCTGTCTCACACTACCTCCTCACTGCCCTCGCCAAGAGGGCTGTAGGCGCCGTGGGGACAGACTAGATCACATGTTTGAGTTTTGAGGCACCTCAAAAGGCGCCCTGCGGATGGACCAGACTATATTGCATATTTGAGCCGACTTTTGAGGCGCCTCAATAGTCGTCCCTGAGGATGGACTAGACTAGATCGCATATTTGAGTTTTGAGGCGCCTCAAAAGGCGCCCTGCGGATGGACCAGACTATATTGCATATTTGAGCCGACTTTTGAGGCGCCTCAATAGTCGTCCCTGGGGATGGACTAGACTAGATCGCATATTTGAGCCGCACACCTGAGGTGAGAGGACAGTGAGATGTGTGAGATGTTGGTGTTGATGGGCACAGTTGATTGTGCTGCACCTGCTGTCTTTTGAGTCGACTCAAAAGTCACCGCGCACCTGAGGTGAGAGGACAGGGAGAGGACAGTGAGAGGACAGTGAGAGGACAGTGAGAGGACAGTGCGAGGACAGTGCGAGGACAGTGCGAGGACAGTGAGATGTTGGTGTTGATGGGCACAGTTGATGGTGCTGCACCTGCTGTCGCCCACCACCTGCTCCCTCTCCAATTCTCTCCATCCCTCTCCATCCCTCTCCATCCCTCTCCATCCCTCTCCGTCCCTCTCCATCCCTCTCCGTCCCTCTCCATCCCTCTCCGTCCCTCTCCATCCCTTTCCACCCCTCTCCACCACAGGAGGAAGCGTTGATTCTGGCGTTTGCAGCGCACTGCCCCACGCTGCAGTTCTGCTACTCCGCCCTGGCCTGTGCCATGCTGGTGAGGCGTACAGAGCGGTGGTGAGGTGTGCTGAGCGGTGGGCGGTGGTAAGGCGTGCAGAGTGGTGGTGGGGAGTGAAGATGGCCGGTAGGTGCTGCAGAGTGCTGGCAAGTCGTGCAGAGTGGTGGTAGGGAGTGTCCAGTGATGGTCAGGAATGTGTGATACTGCTGATTTTCCTTTCGTTCTAATCCTCCACTCACTCTTCCTCCACCCACCCCTCCCCTACCACCTCCTCCCCTCTTTCTCCCTCTCACTGCAGGACAAAGCAGGACAAAGCAGGACAAAGCAGGACAAAGCAGGACAAAGCAGGACAAAGCAGGACAAAGCAGGACAAAGCAGGACAAAGCAGGACAAAGCAGGACAAAGCAGGACAAAGCAGGACAAAGCAGGACAAAGCAGGACAAAGCAGGACAAAGCAGGACAAAGCAGGACAAAGCAGGACAAAGCAGGACAAAGCAGGACAAAGCAGGACAAAGCAGGACAAAGCAGGACAAAGCAGGACAAAGCAGGACAAAGCAGGACAAAGCAGGACAAAGCAGGACAAAGCAGGACAAAGCAGGACAAAGCAGGACAAAGCAGAGCTCCACGCCAACATTCACAAAGTTGAACTTGTTTTGACTTTGTTACTGATGAACCCCCCTCAACCACTCTCATTCCCCACCTTCGTCTCCCCTCATTCTCCTCCTGTTTCTGCAGGGACGCGGCAGAAGACGAGACCAACATCACCCACATTGTCGACTTTGCCATTGGTGCAATGCAAACCCCCTCCCACACTCTCCCCGGCTCCCCTCCCTTCCACAAACCCCTCTTCCTCCCTTGCTGCAGGACGCGGCAGAGGATAAGCCAAACACCCACATCGTTGGCTTCGTTGACTTCACTGGCCGTCATCGTCGACTTTGCCGTGTGGGCATCGTGCAACTCCCCTCTCCCCCGCCTCACCCCTCCTTGTCCCCCTCATCCCTCCCTCCCTGCCCCCCTTCCCCTCACCCCTTTCCCTCTACAGGACACGGCAGAGGATGAGTCCAAACACCCACATCGTCGACTTCACACGCCGTTAGTGCACCAAACCCCCCCCACCCCCCAACCCCCCCACCCCCCGTTCTTCAGCCTTACCTTGTCCTCTCCGTCTCCCCACCATCAGCCCCCTCTATTTCTACAGGACGCGGCAGAGGATGAATGAACCAAACACCCACATCGTCGGCTTTGCCATTCGTGCAACCCACTCGACACTCTCCCTACTCACTCCCTCTCCACCTACCCTCTCCCTTTCTCCCTCCACAGGACGCGGCAGAGGATGAACGAACCAAACACCCACATCGTCGGCTTTGCCATTCGTGCAACCCACTCGACACTCTCCCTACTCACTCCCTCTCCACCTACCCTCTCCCTTTCTCCCTCCACAGGACGCGGCAGAGGATGAATGAACCAAACACCCACATCGTCGGCTTTGCCATTCGTGCAACCCACTCGACACTCTCCCTACTCACTCCCTCTCCACCTACCCTCTCCCTTTCTCCCTCCACAGGACGCGGCAGAGGATGAATGAACCAAACACCCACATCGTCGGCTTTGCCATTCGTGCAACCCACTCGACACTCTCCCTACTCACTCCCTCTCCACCTACCCTCTCCCTTTCTCCCTCCACAGGACGCGGCAGAGGATGAATGAACCAAACACCCACATCGTCGGCTTTGCCATTCGTGCAACCCACTCGACACTCTCCCTACTCACTCCCTCTCCACCTACCCTCTCCCTTTCTCCCTCCACAGGACGCGGCAGAGGATGAATGAACCAAACACCCACATCGTCGGCTTTGCCATTCGTGCAACCCACTCGACACTCTCCCTACTCACTCCCTCTCCACCTACCCTCTCCCTTTCTCCCTCCACAGGACGCGGCAGAGGATGAGTCCAACATCCACATCGTTGACTTTGCCATGTGGGCAGGCCAGTGGCCAATCGTCATCCGCCAGCTGGCGGCAGCTGCCCGGAAAAGAATGGCCGCAGCAGCTGTTACCATCAACAGCCATAACAGCAGCAGCAGCAGCGGCAGCAGCAGCAGCAGCGTTGGTATCTGTGACAGTACTGCTGCTACCACCAGCCATGCTTCCAAATCACCATCCGCCTCCCACCCTTCTCCGTCCCAGCCAACCTCCGCCCACCACTCCCCCTCACCCTCGTCATCCCCTTCTCCCACACCCCTGCAAGGTCCTTGTACCTCTGCGCCTTCTCCCATCCCTCCCTGCTTTCTCCGGATCCGATTCACAGCTGTAGACCCTCCTTTCGGTCATCCCTATGGGACTGGCCCGAAGCTTCCTGCGGCCTTCCTGCAGGCTGAGCTGGCGCGGGCGGCGCAGGAGTGCGGCGTGAGCTTGTCCTTTTCCCGGGTCGAGGCGGCGCCGGAGACGCTGCGGGCGGCGGCGATTGGAGTGGAGCGGGGCGAGTGTGTGCTGGTGAACGTGGCTGGGCGGCTGGCGTGTGTTGCAGATTCTACAGTTCTCAGGCACAGCCCAAAGGATACAGCAATAAAGGTAAGAGAGAGTGGTGAGGTAAAGGGGGAGCGGTGTTAATATGGCTTCGTCAACCACCCACCTCTTTTACCCCTGCCTTAAGATGATCATGCAGTTGATGCCTCAGTTGGTGAGCTTTCCCTCCGCGCACACTGCTATTCCTCCCCCCTTGCTCCTCCAGGCGATCATGCAGCTAGACCCAAAGTGGTCGCTCTAGTAGAGTGGGACTCCAACCAGCAGCCCTTCTAGCAGCCTGCTAGAGTCGCTCTAGCAGCCCTTCTTCCTTTCTCGCTTCCGAGACGCTCTCCTCTTCTTCCACAACATCTTCGCTTCCCACGACGCACTCGCCTCGCGCTTCTCCTTCGGCCGCCGCGGCTTTGAAGAGTTGATGCTGGCGAGGGCAATGGTGAACCTGGTGGCGTGCGAGGGCAATGGTGAACCTCCTCTTTGATCGAACACATTCTTACAACTCCCTCCCCCCATCCCCTCCCTTCCTCCCTTCAGGCAATCATGCAGCTAGACCCCAAGGTGGTGTCGTTAGTCGAGTGGGACTCCAACCAACAACAACCCTTCTTTCTCCACCGTTTCAAAGACGCTCTCCTCTTCTTCCACAACATCTTCGCCTCCCACGACGCACTCGCCTCGCGCTTCTCCTTTGGCCGCCGCGGCTTCGAGGAGTTCGTTCTCGCACGGGAAATGGTGAACCTGGTGGCGTGCGAAGGCATGCAGAGGCTGGTGCGAGCAGAGAGGTTGGATCAGATGCACACGCGGATGGGGAGGTTGGGGGTGGCGGCACGGCCGTACAGCAAGAGGAGCATGTGGGGGTTGAGAGAGCTGATCGCGCCGTATCCTAAAGGGTTTGCGGTTGAGAGGCATCCGCAGGGGGGCGTGCGCCTGCTGTGGAATGGTCAGTCGATTCTGGGTGCCTCTGCTTGGACCCCTGGGGGAGGAGATGGGAGGAAATGAGAGCTAGTACGGCAGGGCAGCGGAGCAGCAAAAAATACCAGAGCACTAGAGCAGCAGGCTAACATAGAATAGCCAGCAGGACAGCAGAGGAGTAGCAGCAGCAGCAGGATCAGCAGGGTAGCATAGCAGCAGGGTAGCATAGCAGCAGGGCAGCAGGGCAGGAGCAGGACCAGGTGATAGGGATGTCTGAAGCAGCACACAGGGTGAGGAAATCAGCAGCAGCAGCAGCAGCAATTGTTTCCAGTCTCTCGAACCCTTTGTGCCGTCTCAATAGCAGCAGCAGCAGCAGCAGCAGCAGCAAGTGTTTCCAGTCTCTTGGGCCCTTTGGTTTTTGTGCTCTGTCATTATTTTATTTTTTCCAGCCGTTTCAACATCTCGCCTGGAGGTACCGGGTAGCACCGCGCTGCACCGGTCACATGCAAAGGGCTTGACAGCTCGGCTTCTGCAGTGTTTGATTGCCTCCTCTCTCATGGTGGTCCTGGAGGGCTTTCATATCCAGCAGTGTTGTTCCAAGGATAGTGCTGCAGGGGTTTCACATGTGAATGGCTTGACAGCTCGGCTTCTGCAGTGTTTGATTGCCTCCTCTCTCATGGTGGTCCTGGAGGGCTTTCATATCCAGCAGTGTTGTTCCAAGGATAGTGCTGCAGGGGTTTCACATGTGAGTGGCTTGACAGCTCAGCTTCTGCAGCAGTTGTGTTGCAGTCTTTCATCCCTTCCTCATTCATTCTGCTGGTAGGGGGTCATATCATATCATGTCTAGCAGTGTTGTTCGAAGGGTAGGACAACTAGTAATAATTCAGGACAAAGATGCCATCCTTCCTTAGTAACGGAAATGTGATGTTCCAGCCAACAAAACAGGAATAAAAGTCCCTCCAAAAAAAAGTCCAGATTCCAAAAAGGATAATGTACTAAATATGCTTCTGTTGTGCCTTACTGAGTGGGTGCTCTGCGTTTTAGGCCTTGGCAGGAACTTTCTCTAGGAGCTCGGGCAGCACTTGAAACAAATCGCCCACCAGCCCGTAATCCGCGACCTGGAAAATCGGAGCATCTGGATCCTTGTTAACGGCCACGATCATTTTGGAATCAACAAAAAACGGACTGTAGCATGTGCTTCGGATTCAAATGGGGGAGAGAAAAAGCAGAGTGCTTTGAGTTGTTACCTGGAAGATCGGAGCATCTGGATCCTTGTTAACGGCCACGATCGCCTTGGAATCTTTCATGCCTGCCAGATGCTGAATCGCGCCCGAAATTCCAAACGCCATGTACAGGTCTGGCGCGACGATTTTTCCGGTCTGCCCGACTTGCAGGTCGTTGGCTACGTAACCTGCGTCCACAGCTGCCCGAGAGGCTCCCACTGGCAAGAAGGGCAAAAAGGGCAGGAGAGGATTACAGCAATGGAAAAGGGAGAGTGTAGTTGTGGTTGAGCATACGTCCAGGCAGCAAGGGCAAGATCTTCTTCCAGCTAGGGCAGGAGTTTATTGATTCGCTTAGTTGATTCCGCGCTTTTGGTGTTTCATTCACTGTCAATCTTTCTTACCTGCCCCTCCCAGTTTGTCTGCTAGTTGTTCCAGCAGCTTGAAATTCTCTTCACTCTTCAGCCCCCGCCCGCCGGCAATCACAACTTTTGCACTGCCCAAGTCCGGTCGGTCAGCTGCCCGCAACTCCTGCCCGACCCAGGAAGACTTTTCAGCTGGGGGGCCTGGGGATCATGGGGGGAAGAAGGGGTGGGAGAACAGGGGAGTGGGGGGGGAGAAAGGAAGGAAGGGGTGGAAGGATACGCAAACGTGACTGGCAGGTTTCTGGCCAAGGAAGGAGACATGTATGAAGAAGTGGTTTGAGACGTCTCAAAGCACTTCTGGCCAAGGAAGGAGACGGACCTCTGGGTAAGTCGGGAGGGGAGCGCGCTGAAAATGAGCAGAGGAGGGGTATTTTGAGACGTCTCAAAAATCTTGAGACGTGTCTAACTGTGACGGGCAGATTTTGGGCAAGGAGGGAGAAGCACCTTGAGCTGAGTTGGGAGGAAAGGGCATTTCTGAGACGTCTCAAAAACACCATCTCTACATGTAGATTTTGGGTTAGGAGGGAGACGCACATTGAGCTGAGTTGGGAGGAAAGTAAGCATGCTGGAATGGAACATGCCTAACGTGTCTACATGGAGCATGCCTAACGTGTCTACATGGAGCATGCCTAACGTGTCTACATGGAGCATGCCTAACGTGTCTACATGGAGCATGCCTAACGAGTCTACATGGAGAATGCCTAACGTGTCTACATGGAGCATGCCTAACGTGTCTACATGGAGCATGCCTAACGTGTCTACATTGAGCATGCCTAACGTGTCTAAATGGAGCATGCCTAACGTGTCTACATGAAGCATGCCTAACGTGTCTACATGAAGCATGCCTAACGTGTCTACATGAAGCATGCCTAACGTTTCTACATGAAGCATGCCTAACGTGTCTACATGAAGCATGCCTAACGTGTCTACATGAAGCATGCCTAACGTGTCTACATGAAGCATGCCTAACGTGTCTACATGGAGCATAAGGAGAAGGAGGCAGCAGGGAAGGAGGTGGCTCGGACTGTGAGCAGCGTTGGGGTGGCGGGGGAAGGAATGGAGCAGCGCACTGTGTCAGTCTAGAGCGTACCTTGGAAGTCGAAAGGCGTGGTCTTGGGGGCGGTGGTGGGTTCAGAGGAGGAGGAGGCAGGGAAGGAGGTGGCGCGGATTGTGAGGAGACTTGGGACGGCAGAGGAGGGGGTGGAGCATTGTACTGTAGCAAGTGCGTTCCCTGCATAGATTGGACTGTGGAGGGGGGAAAGGGGGGAAGAAAAGAAGAAGCAGAGAGGACAATGGGGAATAAAGGGTGAGCGTGGAGCAGCAAACCGTGGCAAGAGCGTTCCTTGCAGAAATTGGGCTGGGGTGTGGCGGAGGGGGGGAAAGGGTGTAAGGAGGAACAAAGGAGAAGGGGGAGTGGGGCAGGAGGCCTGAAAAATACATCATCGCCCTTCACCTCCCCTCACTGCACCCCTCCCTCCATTTCCCCTTTCCTCCCCTCCCGTCACCGCACCCCCTGACCTCCCTCTGCCCTCTCTCCTCTCACCGAGTGAAGGTCGTCTCACCCTTTGGATTCGAAAGGGAAGGCCAACTCTCGCCCTCAAACTTCCTATTGCAATTTTTGAGGCGCCTCGAAGAAGGCCAACTCTCGCCGTCAAAATTCCTATTGCACAAACCGTTCGCCCTCTCCCCTCCTCTCCCCCCCTCTTCCCCCTCCCCCGTCCCCCATTTCCCTGATCCTAAAAAATATACCACCACCCTCACCCTCCCCTTACCGCACCCCTCCCTTCCCCTCCCAATTACCGCACAAAAGTCTTCTCATCCACGATTTCAACCACATCAGACACCATCGCAGTGTCCAATAGCGCGGCGACACGTGGCAGCACGTTCCGGGAGAAGGTGGACGAGGCGGCGAGCACGTGCGAGAAAGACCGCTGAGTGGCGAGGTTTGTCAGTAGCGCCGCCAGGGGCTCGGGCAGGGCGTGGTCCAGGGCGGGGCTCTCTGTTGTAATCACCTGAGAAATATGACATGGGAGGGAGGTGGGGATAAGGAACGTAAGCGAGGTGACTTTTGAGTCAACTCAAAAGAATCTCTGTTGTAATCACCTGAGAAATATGACATGGGAAGGAGATGGGGATAAGGAACGGAAGCGCTGAGGACAGGCAGGGCATGCCATTACTTCCCTTCGGCAGCCTAGTGTATGAGTGATAATTGTACTCACAAACGTTTTTCGATTCCAAGGTTTCAAGTAAGTCGCGATTATTGTGATGTTTCTATAATATCTTGAAATTAATTACCCACCTCATCCACCCCTTCAATCTTCGCAACAGCAGCTGCCACGTCAGCAACCGCGTCGCCACTCCCCGCCACCAGCACGGCCACGGGTCCGCCAAGCTTCCGTGCAGCCGCCACTGCGGACAGCGTGGGCGGCTTTAGGGCGGCGGCGGAGCCCCCCGCGCCCCTCCCCGTGTGCTCCGCCACCACTAGCGTGCTGGCCTGCGGAGTGGGGAGTAGGGGCAGGGGGATAAGCGGGACGGGACAGGGGGACAGGGAAAGAGGACAAATGGGGGGAGGCGTGACGGGCGGGAGAGCGTGGGCGGCTTCAGGGCGGCGGCGGAGCCCCCTGCGCCCCTCCCCGTGTGCTCCGCCACCACCAGCGTGCTGGCCTGGGGTGGGGGGAAGGGGGGAGCGGAGGGGGGGCGCGAATAAAGGGGATAGTGGGGCCGCGGCGGAGCTCTCCCCCCCTCCCCTCTTTTCCCCCTTTCCCGTGTGCTTCGTTAGTACCAGCGCGCGCTGAGGACGGGAAAAGGGGGATTACGGGGAAAAGGGGCGCATGGGCGCGACGAGTGAGGAACGGCGGGATGGAGATATGGCGGCGGGCGCGGCGGAGATTGCTGAAGAGGTTGAGCCTGGTGTGCCCCGTATTTTTTTTAGTCTTTGTGAAATGAATGGAAAAAAAAAAAAAAAAAAAATCACAAAAAGCACAAACAAACCTCGACAACATCAAGGGCCCATTGAAGAACGTTCGTAATGGGATCACAAACGTGAAGTGATCTCATCGCGTCGCGAGATCACAAAAACGGGTTCCAGCAGAAGCGGTCTCACGAAAGCAACTACTGTGAGACCAACCCATCGAAGCGCGAGGACATCGAGGGGACTGCGCGCAACGAAGTTACACTGTATTCGTGTCTAGCGCGTTCTTCCGGAATCGTTTTACCCAAGGCCCTGTCTACCGCATGACTAACCCATCGAAGCGCGAGAACATCGAGGAGACTGCGCGGATGCGCGGAAAAGCCGCTCTGGAACGACCCGACAGCGCGGTTCACGGCGCCAGACGCGCCACTACTCCGTCTGAAATCGCCCGCGACGCGACGCAGAAGCGTGGCCATCTCGCGCTGACGGCGGAAGGCGGAGGGCGGAGGGATGAGGGCGGAGGGAGGAGAGCGGGGGCCGGAAACCGGAGCGTGGCGAGCGAACGAGGCGAGGCGGCGAGCTGAGCGCGTCAGATAGCGGAGGGCGGAAAGCGGAGACCGACTGGTGGATTGGCGGGCGGAGATGGTTTGCGGCGAAGGGCAAAATAGCCGGCAGGCTGGTAAGCGGGACTGACTACCCCGTCGAAGGGGGCACGGGACGGGAGGGACTGGTTTAGCGCGGGAGATACGGCTGCTGGTCCGCGCTGCTAGCTTCTGCTGTAATACACATTGATTCTGGGGCATTAGTTCCGCTGCTGCTAATAGCTACCGCACTGCACTCCGTGATATGGTATTGTATTACACTGGTGTTGCTGTGGTGGTGCTGCCACTTTGCGCTGAGTCAGCGCCACGTGGTTTGAAGCTGCGTCGCGTTGTCGAGTTTTCGGCTGCCGCGAATGCCAGTGGCGTTTCGTTTGCTGCTCGGCATTTCCCAGAAGCGAAGCAGGAAACGACTGACGAAATGTAACGAATCGCACAAAGGCTCTTCGTCGATCGCAACGCATTTGACTTTCAACTTCGGGTCCAGCGGCAAACAACTCAGAAGCTCTCCCCTCGGAGTTCCGATTGGTTATCGAATCTCTGGGCGAAGACATTCATGTTACACAAAGTGGTTCTAGACCGTCTAAGATTGTTCTGCAACGTACTGAACCGTCACTTTATAACCCAGAGAGATTGGTCTGGTGACAGCAGTGCTATCTGCGAACTGACAACAACGTGCGAAGAGATTACCACAATAATAGAGATTTCGAAACGAAAACTGACGTCACGTGAGTTTCGCGAATGCTGTTGTTCCGTGGAAGGCTCCGACCCTTTCCGAAGGGTTCCTCTTCCTCCACTTTCGCAGCAGCGCAACAGGCAGAAACGTCGTCGAAGCAGCCAGAGCGACTTTCCAGAACCTCCTACGGCCCAAACATCCCTGTCGCTTAGGCTGCTTCGACGGCGCTTGGTGTTCAATCCCAGTCCGGCTGGAGCGTGCGTAGCTAGCGAGTATTTACAGCGCCATGGCGGCTTTAATCCGCAATCAAGCGCCTAACGAGCTTCATCCTACTCGTGTACCTCCCTTGAGCCAATTTTCCATTCTCGCGTCGTTTTGAACCCATCAGTATCGCCGAGATCACTGCTGTCGCCGCTGACATCATGGCTCCAGTCAAGGTCTACGGCATGAACATGTCGACCTGCACCAAGAGGGTGCTCACCACTCTCGAGGAGGCGGGTGTTACGGTACGACTTGGTTATATAAAGAACGAAGAACTAGATTTCTTTTTCAGCTGGGGATGTCGCCTTCCTGCCTCCTCGTTTTGTAATAGTAGAAAATTAAGCAACTCCAATTGTTTTTCTTTTCCTCAGGACTACGAGGTGGTTACAGTGGATCTCCGGAAAGGGGAGCACAAGTCGGAAGAGTTCAAGAAAAAGCAGGTGGGCGGCAAACTCCCACGCTCTGACGCAAGCATTCCTCTTTTCGAAAATCCCCATATACAAACAAAATCACCATGGTATCTGTCCGTTTTCGCTACACAACAATATCAGATGCAGCTCGTTACATTCACACGACCATCGGATTTTCAGCGTGTGGGTTCATTTCGAATCGGTCTTTTTTCCTCTCTGGCCCTTTTTCTGCGCAGCCCTTTGGAGTGATTCCCGTTCTCGATGACGGGGAGGTTCAACTCTTCGGTACGGTTTGTATTTTCTCAAATTCTTTCTAGCACCTATTGAGCTCCATCCATTTTCCACTTCTGAACACAGCTAATTTCGCTTACACAGGAGTTTTCTGCTCAAATGTTCCTACATTTGTTCCATATATGCTATATCTTGCTCAAAACGGCATTGTGTTCACCTGAATGTCTTTCCCCGATGGTCTTCATCAGAATCGCGTGCCATCGCTCGTTACATTGCCGAGAAGAATGCCAGCCAAGGCACTGAACTTCTCGGCTCCACACTCAAGGTATTCAAGTCAAAACACTTTTCCACACCTTAGTTTGCCGAAACGTTTATCGCCTAGTCCTACACGCCTGCCAGTTGCTACCAACAGTGAGAGTCGATTGCCTCCACGTGTGTCTGTTGATTCAGCTTAGATAGTTTCTCAGTGTTGCCGTGCAAGAGCGTGCGCTGGTGAATCAGTGGGTTGAAGTGCAGGGATAGAATTCTCTATTGTAAGGCGTGTGGACATTTCTCAGAATGCGTATGCTGTGTGTTTTCGTGTCGTGCAGGAGCGTGCGCAGGTGAACCAGTGGTTGGAGGTGGAGGCGCAGAACTACAACCCGCCCCTCTCAGCGCTGATCGCGGAGAAAGTGTTCAAGCCCATGTTCGGTGGGGGCGAGCCCGACCTGGCTCAGGCAGAAGAGCTCAAGGCGAAGGTCAGTGACAAGAATAGTCAAGCAATTTATTTCTGTTTTCTATTTGGTTCTCATCGGCGGAAAAAACATAGCCCTTAGCAGTGAGAATGCCATTCAAGCGATCTATTTCTGTCCACTTTCCGCATGCTCTTTCGTAATTCAACTATTTTTCGCAGTTCTCGAAGGTTCTCGATGTGTACGAAGCTCACCTGGCCAGCAACGAGTACCTGGCGGGGTCGAATTTCTCCCTCGCGGATCTGTCGCACCTGCCCTACACGGCTCTGCTGTGGGTGTCAGGAGATTCGGATCTGATAACCTCGCGTCCGAATGTGAATGCGTGGTGGGAGAGGATTTCCTCTCGCCCTACCTGGAAGAAGGTTTCCGCGCTGCAGTGAGAGAGGAGGATGCAGCTATTATCCACGAAGCTGGATGTATGCACAGAAAAATGTTTATGAACCCATAATCAAGCTCTGCTGCAGCAGGTTTTGAAACTTCAAATTGATTATGGACAGATTTGAAAGCACTTGATGATCACCTCTGGCATGATTCAATTTACCTCTCCACCTTCCTGTCATTAATTTCAAGGCCATCAATCCATGTCAATCACAAATTATTAAGTTATAATTGTTGGGCTCAAAAGGCCTTAGGATCTTTACAGGACTGAACTCCTGGTAGAACTCATGTAATAGCGGAAGCGTTTTAATGAAGAGTTGTGTGCCACCTTGCGCTGGTACGGTATGTGAGGGCAAAGTAGATTAATTAAAACAAAGAGATACAAGCTTTTATAAGAGTACAAGGGAATAAGAAGGGTTATACGGCAACTAATAACTCTTTTGCTGTTGCTGTTGCGGTTCGTTACAGTGACAACTCAGGCAACTGCTCAATAGTGAGTCAGTTTTTTGTCCTTGCTGTCGCGCTGTACTTGTTAGGTCAAAGGTCACTAACCTTTGACTTTCGCGTAACCTCCAGCAGTTGCTCAACCTCCGAGGATTGATTCGCTGATGCTTCGATATGTTGTGCTTCGCTTCTGACTTGGTGTTTCGACACGATAGGGGCGCTTAAATCAATTGTTTCCAACACTCCCCTTCGCTTCTAGAGTGTCGCTGCTGGTGCCGTGGCTCTGTCCAGTCAGCAGCATGCAGTATTCGAACTTTTGTTTTCTGAGTTTCTTGATCAAGTAATCAGCTGCCATCTCGGACGTGGGGCAGTAGGATAATTCGAGTCTCCCCTTCTCGATCTTGACTTTCACGAAGAAATATCACAGGGCGATATGCTTCGTCCTGTTCGCGAATCCGTTTTTGTTGGCTATGCGAATTGCTGACTGGTTGTCGCAGAACAGAGTGAAGCTGGGTACGGTAATTGAGCCAGCTTCGCTTCCTCCAAGAGTTCGCAAAGGTACAATCCTTCCTTGGTGGCTGAGCAGAGTGCGATAAATTCTGCTTCAGTTGAGGAGAGAACGATTAATTCCTGCTTGCTTGCCATGAGATAGGTCCGCTAGGCTTGAGGCGGTAGATGTAGCCTGTGCGCGAGCGCCTGTTGTCAGAATCTCAGGCGTGGTCGGCGTCGACGTAGCTGATTAACTTAGGCGTTGTAGTTCCGTTCTTGTAGTAGGTCAGGCTGATCGTTGGCGTGCTGACGACGTAGTGAAGAGCGCGGTCGAGCTCCGACATGTGTTCAGCTTCAGGCCTTTTAAGGTAGGTGGCGAGTTGGCTTGCGGAGTATGATAGGTCTGGGCGGCAAGTGACAGCTGCGAAGAGAAGGCATCCCAGCTTCCTCTGGTAGTCGCGTATCCTGGCAGGCTTGAATAGAGTGGGCCTTTCCTTGTGATTTCCTGCCGTGTAGCGATATGGCGTAGAGATGGTAGTTGGTGTGAGTGCGAAGCGTTTGGCGATGGTGTCGGCGTATTTTGCGGCGTTGAGGTAGATCGCGCTTTCTCCTTCCTAGATGTTGAGGCCGAGGTACTGCGTGACGGTAGATGAGACTATGAGCGTGAGGTCTTTCTGTAACTCCCCTTCGAACCACGTGGTGACGTTGTTGGTCGACCCGATGTAGAGTAGATCGTCTACGTAGACGATTAGTAGAATATAGTCGTCGTCTTTCGTGAGCCGATACATGCCTTGGTCGTGCGGTAGCTGCCGGAATCCGATGCAAGTAAGTCGAGCGTGTAGGTACTGCTGCCACAGTCTCGGGGCTTGTTTGATGCCGTAGAGCAAATTTAGCAGTTGACAGACGAGATTAGGTTCTCCGTTGGAACCATGGGGTAGTTCGACGAAGATTTTTGCATCGACAGGTGCGTAGAGGAATGCATTGGCTGTCATACTTCTATGACTTAGCCTGTGTAGGCTATAGTGGGGTAGCACATATGGGGTACAACACATTTCTAGGGTTTGTACTTGTACCCAACCCTTTCCTCTAGTGAATCATTCCTCATTCTTTCATATGGTATAGAGCAGGTTCCCTAGTGGGAACGTTTCCTAGGGCCCACCAAAAATCGACCTTTTTTTTCCTGCCCGGAGCGCGCTTCGCCCCTGCCCGAGTCGCGCCCCGTGTGCCTACCCTCCCGTCGCGTCCTCTGCCCTTAGCGGCCCGTCGCGCTCCCTTACGGCCCCGAAGCGGCCCCTCTTGAGAAGAAGTGAACGAGAATAAAATGACTATGAATGAAGTGAGTACAAATAGCAAACCCTAATGGGATTGTACCCCCTATGGGATACCCCACTATAGCCTACACAAATGAGTAAGCTATAAAGTTCTGACACACCCCCATAGGCAAAGTGGGGGAGAACAAGGGGTCACAAGACCAGTCAAGCAAAGCAAAGCAAAGCTCAGGGTGGATCACAAAGTCACCACACATTCCGAGCACAAGTTCAAAGGCCAGAAGGCCAGTTCACATGCAAGATCACATATAGAGATATACAAGAGTCAAGAGTATATATAGGTAAAGGTACAAGCAAGGTCAAGAAGTGAGCAAGTGAGGCAAGAGAGGCACAAGACCCAGCTGCGTGCAGCAGCGCTGATGATCACAAGGCGCAAGTGCCTTGGTGAAGATATCAGCAGTGTTGGCCTCAGAGGCCACGTACGCAAGTCGCAACTGTCCACGCTGCTGTAGCTCACGAGCAAGAAAGTAGCGGACAGCAATGTGCTTTGTCCTGTGCTCCAGTCCCTGCTCTCGACACAAGGCCAGCATGGCCTTGTTGTCTACGTACAGGACTAGAGGAGAACGAGGCGGCTCTCCTAGGTCGGTCAGCAGGTAGGTGAGCCAGCGAAGCTCCTGGGCCGCCATAGCCCCGAAGTAGATCTCAGCCTCACAACTGGAGCCGAGAACAGAAGACGAGCGGGTAGCCCGCCACGAAACAGAGCCGGAACCAAGGCTGAAGGTGTAACCCTGTGACGACCGCTGCGTAGCCTGGTCGTCAGCCCAAGAAGCGTCTGCGTGCCCAGTGAGGACCACTGGACTGCGCCCTCCAAGCACTAGCCCCATGCCCGACGTACTGCACAAGTAGCGCAACACCCTCTTCGCTGCAGCCATGTGCTCTGGTCGGTGTCTCCCAGGAGCAACATAGCGTGCGAGAATGCTAAGAGGGTATGCAAGGTCAGGTCGTGTGCAGGTCATCAGGTACATGAGGTAGCCAACAAGCTCTGGGTACGGGCCACTCGGCTCTACGGACTCATCCGAAGGCAGAGCTGAGAGCGAGTGGCGAGTAGACAGAGGAGTGGCCTGAGGCGAGGAGTACGTGAAGTCGAAGCGCTGAAGGACCTGCTGCACCATGTGTGACTGAGTCAGGGTAATGGTGCGGCGTGCTCTGTCCCGGGTGATCTGCAAGCCAAGGTAGCTGCGCAGTTCACCCAGGTCAGTGCACGTGTGTCTCTTCTGCAGCTCGGACTTCACGTAGGCGAGTCCAGCAGTGTCAGCTGTGGCAAAGACCAAGTCGTCGACGTAGACGAGGATGTAGAACGGCGGCAGAAAGGTGTCGGTGCGCAGATTCAGCGACGGGTCTGCAGTGGAAGGAGCAAACCCAAGTGCCGCCAGCGTAGTCCTCAGTGGGTCGTGCCACTCACGCGGCGCCTGGCGGAGACCGTAGACTGGACGCCGGAGACTCCACTGGGTACCAAGAGGGAAAGACCCAGTGAAACCAGGTGGGCGATGCAGCCAGATCTCCTCGTGCAGGCTGCCCTGCAAGAAAGCAGTGCTGAAGTTGAGAGAGTGCAACTCGTAGTCACGGTGAGCAGCAACGTGCAGCAGTACCCGAAGAGTGGTCATCTTCGGGGTGGGGGAGAAGGTCTGAAAGTAGTCAACTCCCTGCCGCTGACTGAAGCCACGAGCCACGTAACGCGCCTTGAAGACACGCGGAGAACCCGGCGGCCGCTTCACCCTGAAAATCCACATGCCACTGACGATGTTCGCCCCAGGAGGGGGGACAGCGTCAACGTAGGTGCCTGTGGACTTCGAGGACGCCATCTCTGCATCCATAGCTGCCTGCCACTGAGAGGAGTAGGGACCCTCTATCGCCTCCGCGTAAGAGCGCGGAGTCGGGATGTCTAGTGCATCCGGGTCTCCCTCAGGGGTAAGCAGTACAGACGCGAGATGAGGTGAAGCGGCGGACAGACACTGGAACTCCTCCTGCCTGTCCTCAAGGACGTCCGTGCCAAGGGCACACTCACCCCCGACGGACGGAGGACATGCAGACTTAGACTCAGCGACAAGACTAGCAGCGTAGTCTAGACGACAGCGCGCAGCAAAGTCGACGAGCTCAGTAACAAGGGCAGACGCAGCAGAAGACTCGAAAGAAGGGTCAATGACGGCAGTAGCAAGAAGACGCGTGACAGTAGGACTGGCAGCACGAAGAGAGTCCGACTCCGGGTCGGCAAGAGCAGGAAGAGAGGACCGAGGAGGAGAAGGCAAAGGGGCACGCAAAGGAGCAGTGGACGGACGCAGAGACATGCGGTGCGTGCCAGGGACAGGAGGAGGACGCTGACGCGAACCGCGACCACTAGTGCGCGCAGCACGAACAGGCGACATAGGACGTGACGCAGGCTCACGACGCTCAGTAAGACCTCCAGTCGGACCAGTGTAGGGAGAAGGAGCAGGCAAAGGGGAGGCAGGCTGTAGCTGTGACTGTGACTGGACAAGCTGTGGACCCTCTAAGGGAGGAGGAGGAGGACCAGGAGGAGGTGTAAGACCAAGAACCTGCTGCAGGAGCAGAACGAAGTACGGTTGGGGCCGCGTGGCGACGCCAGAAACAGCAGGGATAGCACCAGTACCCCCAGCAGGAGTACCCGCTCCAGCAGCACCTCTAGTAGCTCCAGAACCCCCAGCAGCACCTCCAGCAGCCCCAGAACCTCCAGTAGCACCAGGAGCACTGCCAGGGGAACCGCCAGCGGTAGTCTCAGCGCCAAC